GGGGGGGGGGGGGGGGGGGGGGGGACCACCCCCTCCCCCCTTGGAGGCTTCGCCCCCTCGTGTCCGCTTACTGCCCCCCCCCCTGCCATTTTGCTCAGGCTACGGCCCTGAGCTTTGATATGAAACAGGAGGACTTTTGTTATTCGGTGTTTTTTTCTTTTTATCATGAAATTAATATGAAAAAGAGGGTAATAAATGAAAATATCTAAAAACAAGTGTCCAGCAATCCACATTTATAGATTAAATTTATAAATGTGCATGAAATTATGTCCGTTTTTATTATTTGAGAGCCTTCATGATACACCTTCCAATGGAATGAACTCGCCCCACCTGACACCCCTACGAAGAAATCTGAATCTTTCTGAATCCCCTCGAACAGAATGTACTTACCACAACTGACACCCCGCGAATTGAATGGACACCCCTACACTGTAATAGACACACCCCACCTGTTACCTCTCTAATGGAATTAACTCCCGCCACCCAACACCCCTCCAATTCAATGGACACGCCCCTCTGGAGACCCCTCCACCAATGGAATGGACTCGCCCCACCTGACACCCCCTATCATGTAATGGGATTGTCCACCTAACACCCTCTCAGATAGAGGACATATTCCTCGCATGTCCTCTGATGTCCTTTTCACTTACATATCCCATTGGGACTTATTCATTCTGGTGTGAGCTGAACTTGTCAGCAAGTTTATAGAACGTATTTCTTAAAATGAACTTTGAATAATTCACTAGGTCATCATAAGCACCAAACAACTATCAGGATTACATTAAGTAATATTTAAAAAAATATGCCTTTTTGATAAAATTCGTTTGTTTTGATAACTTTTTTAAACCCTTCGCGGAAGTAAAACTCAATCAAAAGTTATATACGTTAATACAACGTGCTGGCAACGTTTCTCGGATCGATGATAATATACGGTGGCAGAAGAGAAGTAAGTATTGTTAACGTTTGCTGATGGCCTTACCAATATAACATTATGATGTGAGAACATTATCAAAAGCTACACACACTGGACAAAAGAAGTGTCACCCCTACTGAGCCAATACTCTGGGAGAGATAAATGACTGTGAAATGATATGCTCCTGGTATCATTTTATTAACATCAAATTTCACAAAAAATCACAAAATGAGAACAAAATATACATTCTACCAAAATATGCAGTTTCAAGTCCAAAATTAGTACTTAGTGGCATAGCCACGTGACCTAATAATAGGTGCCTGTCTAAGAGGCAAGGATTCATATAATTGTCTGTTGCGTTCAGGGCTTATGCTGGCCCAAGCATGAAACACTGAATATAACAGAGTTTCTCTGCTGGTTAGACGGGCATTTGTCAAAAGTTTTGACATATCATTCCACACATTTTCTATTATGTTTGCTTCCGGACTCTGGGCAGGCCACATCACCCTGCGAATGCCCTGTTGGTCAAACCAATCATCAACTGCTCTGGGCCTGTGACAAGGAGCATTGTCATCCTGGTAAACAAATGGGTAATTCGTGTCACCANGAAGTATCTTAACAAACGTCGACAATTAAATTGAAAATGAAAAACTTCACCAGTGTTTAGGCCTACTTTGCTTGATGTACAGATGTTTCTGTATCTACCTGTAAGCTTAGCTAAGCGGTCCATGATAACTGCAACGCTGATGGTCCCTGATAAAATCAATGATGTGACAAATATTTCACCTGAACAGGCCTTGTATTGCTGTATTCCACCATGTAATTAAGGCTTAAAAGACTTCACGTCTTTTACCTTTTAAATATTATTTACTTGTGTATCAAAATAAGTTTTTTCGATTACCTAGAAAATGTAAGCGAATATTAACATCTTCGACCTCTGATGAATATTTCAATGTTTGGGAAGCAAGCAATTTAAACATCTGCCTTGTGTGGTTTATCAATGTTATGCAATTGCCAACTAAACGAACTATTTAGTGGTCGCTTTTATTTTCTCTGTCACTAAGTGAATAAAGTATTTGATTGTAGCCAACTATTAATACATTTCAGAAAAAACTAAATCAAAGAGATTCTTTTTAAGCACAAATTCAGCAAAAAACGCAAACAGTTCCACGTAAGGTCCATTGAATTTTTTACCCTCGAGACAGAGGTAAATTTATAGCAATTTCAAATACATTGATTTATTTCAGGTCCCGTGGCCGAGGCACTGTGCAAGACCTTTACACCCCGTACTATAGGAATGATAGGCACCGTCATCGCCTCTTTTGGGTTCATGCTCAGTATGTTTGCCACACAGATTTGGCAGCTGTATATAACCTTTGGCTTTCTGACGGGTAAGTTACAGTGCGTGTGCTCTAATCTAATGTTCCAAATCCAGACATATATATTACTGGTTTAGAAAAGGAACATTGTGACCTCCCATCTTGGCAGGTGGTTTTCCTGTGTGTCAACGTAATTTTAAGCGTCTCAGATACCCTGCAGGATCCTAAATTTAAGGAGGGGGGCACAAGATTTGTCCGCTCCCTCACCAACAAATATTTTGAATAATTCAACAGCTGCACCTCTCTCCCCCCCCCCCTCCCCACCCACAAGCATTTTCTCTGCTAATGGCCCATGTGTGTGTGTGTGTGAGTGTGCGCGCGCGCGCGTGCGCGCACAACAAGGTCAAGTTCCCCTTCCTCTATAATAATTATTATTATTTTATAATTTTTTGCCATCCTATGTACGATTTTAAAACACCCTCAGCAGCTGCACAATTGGCATTTCAGGGTTTGGGTTCGGCTTGAAATTTCTACCAAGCATTGTTTGCGTCCACGAGTACTTTGAAAAAAGACAATCTCTTGCGATGGGGATTGCCGTCTGTGGAACCGGGGTGGGCACTTTCGCTTTCGCACCCCTCTCCGAATACCTTATCGAGATATACGGCTGGCAAGGTGCCCTACTCATTGAATCCGCCATCATACTGCACGGCGTCGCTTTTAGCGCCCTCTTCGTACCTCTGGAGAAAAAATCACGGGAGAAACAAGAGGACGAGACAACTCTCATATCCAAATTAAAGGCAGCTTGGAAAACAACAAAAGAAGTGATAGCTGAAATGATGGATTTTAGACTTTTCAAGGACCCAAAATTTGACGTCTACTGTGTCTGTATGTTCTTATTCGCTGTTGGCTACGTTGTTCCGATGACGTATCTTCCAGAACGCGCTGTGAAACAAGGCTACTCTCCGCGAGAGGGCGCTTGGCTCGTTTCTGTTCTGGGAATTTTAAACATGCTGGGGCGCATCTTCGTAGCCGGAGTTGGAGACCGAAAATGCGTGAATCGTTTCTGGATGTTCACTATATGTATCCTCATCAGTGGGGTTATAACCGGTGGAAGCTTTTTGGCAAATGACATCTACTGGCTGCAGATGACGTATTCTGGGTGTTACGGTTTCATGATAGGTAAAATGTACAGAAATACTAAAGCTCTCAAGGTTAATAGTACGGTAATTTTAAATTATGTTCAATTATCACATTTAATAATTTGTTCCGTTTTCTGACAATAGTAGATGTGATCACTTATTATTCTACATTTTAGGTCAAATAAAGTTTTATTCTGAGACATCTACCAATTTTGCAGAATACTTTTAAACTAATGTTTTTTATTTTTACCTATTTATTTATTTATTTATTTATTTATTTTGCCAGTTCCAATTTTAAACTGAATCTGTTCATTACAACAACATTTTGTATATCGATGCATATAGCTTCAAAGTAAAATTTAACATCGAAGCATATTTTTTTGGTCTATACCTTAACAAGTTTTTAATTTTCTTATCGATTCAGCTAAATAAATTAAATATATATGTAAAAATAATTCAGCTGTAATCACTTTCAGGTATCTTCATTTCTTTGGAGTCCGTCGTGTTAAGAGATTTAATCAGCCTTGAGAACCTGACCAAGGGCTATGGTTTGGCCATATTTGTTGGTTATGGGATAGGGTCATTGGTCGCTACGTCATTCACTGGTAGGTTATTTATTTTTAGGCACTTCAAGTACGTTTACAGGTCTTTTGCTTGTATTAACTTAGCATTCACTTCAGCATTGTGCCAAGGAGGTGTATCCTTGCAAATGTATGGCAAATTGGTTCTGTTGTTTTACCATAAATAAATCTTACACAATTTTAATTTTATGTGTATTTTGAAATAATTTCAGCATTATGTGTCAAGCTTTAATCTTCAGATATGTGCTATGACATATATAAAGTATGCCAATTAGGTTTTGAGTCAAGGTTTTTTTAATGTGGTAGAACCAAGAAATCTCACGACAATTAACGTCGACTAGAGACTGCCACAAATTATACAATGTCATCGCTGGAGAGCTTCCCAATTTGCAAGCAGCCGATGTTGAAGATAAAATCAAAAATATTATTTGAGGGTTAGATTTCTTTTAAAAAAACTCTTATTTCCCTGTTCATTTTATTCCTTTACAGGCTGGATCTTTGACGTGACCCAAAATTACGACAACTCGTTCTTGGTTTCTGGAGGAATTCTCGTGGCAAGTGCTCTCTCCATGGTACTTATACCTTGTTTGAAGCGATATGACGCCAAGAGCGAAACCCCAGCCAATTGACATCTGACATATTAATGCTGTAAAATGCTCCCACAATTCAAATAGAAAAGAAAATAGAAATTAATGCCGACCAGAGACCTTTTTTACTTACTTGGTCACGCAATTTATTATGATACCTAATGAACTAAATTGCGCAGTTTGCTCATAAATGTACGGAATTCTTTCTGTATATTGCAGGTGGTTTTTTGGTTGTGTTCTTAGCTTTTGATAACAGAAGGTCAAAGGCCAAAATCAGGTTTCATCAGGATTACCAGTATATATGATTTCTTATTGAATTCCAATAGTAGTTATGAGTGTCTCCCTGTCGGATTTTGAGATATAAGGGCCGGAAAATTGCAATGATAAGTTCACGATAAAAAGTAAGTCAAAGGCCAAATTTAAGGTCACATTAAAATTGCCAAGATGTGAAATCTTTAAGTTCAATAGTAACCATAGGTCTATTTCAGCCAGTTTTGGAGATATGAGGACTGAATTTGCAAAGCTAAGCTCGTGGTGAAAAAGTAGGTCAATGTCAAATTCAACTAAGCCTGCCAATGTATGGTTTGCTATTCAAGTTCAATAATAACTTTAGGTGAACCTCTGCCAGTTTTGGAGATATAAGGGGCGGAAATTCTGCCAAGTACACTTCTCGGCAAAAAGTATTTTATTTTCGCCGTAACAGTAAATCAAAATTTACATTTTCCTGTTGTATACACGACATCTAAGGCATTTTGTTGTGTAGGCTGAATGCGAACACAAGCAATGCAGCCACAAACGATGCATATACCTGTACACTGCTATGGAAACGTAATACTCTGAGATGGTAAGATTTATTTGTATATTCTAATTTTACAATCATAAGACACTTTTTTAACTCATTACAAAACATTCCAATACCATGATGCATCGCACAGAATCTGGTTTTCTCACGTTCCATTCTAATCTATCCGTCCATTTATGTATATTTCCGTATTTGGTTATGGCGTGATATTTTGCGCTCAAATATTATTCACTTTTCTATTTTCCATAAATCTACATTTTTGGCTATCAATCAAATTTAATCGTCTTATTAGGTAATGGTGTGATAATTGACCCACGCTCACAACTTCTATAATTACAAATTTTCCATTACCTCATCATTATAGAATAATGTTGTTGTTGCTTTCCGTTTCTTTGTAGTTATTTATAGCACAGTTCGAATGTTTTGCCTCCACTTTTTGACTCATTGACATGTTACAGTTTAAACAGTTATTAATTGTAAAATTAATTCACTTAAATTTAAAAGAATAAAATAATATTTGTATCAATAACTTATTTTCTTTTCGATGTCATGGGTGCCGTCTAGGTCCAATGGTCTTTTTCTTTAATTTGAATGAAGCAAACTACCTTATATCTAAAAGTGACATACTTTATTTTCCTTTTTTCGATGGTGGTGGTGTAGGGGACCCATGTTTTTTAATGTATGCTCAGTGATAGCTAACCTATATATCAACAGAGATAAAGTTTACATGAGCGAAGCCAAAAACAAATAGACTTGGTCGACGTCGACTATGTATGACAAATTACGCCGTACATGCACATGTACGCGTTATGCAATGCTAAACAAGGCTACCGGGATGATAAAAATGCATAGCTTAAAAGTGCTTCCTCAACTGCTGCTTAGGGTATCCAACTTAACATTGACAGTAAATTGGCTGACCTTCAAGTACTATATTTACCTGTCAGTCAGCTGTTGATTCCCGGTGGGAAAAATGCAGTTGGCGAGTTAGTTTCGGTTTCGTCCTATATGTATTGAATCATACAGCTGTTTATTCAGTAATGTTCGGGACGACAAACTGTTGTACTGATACTACTACAACTACTAATATATTTATGTTTGATGAGCGTGATTCCAAAAAAGACGGAAATAATTTAGTCTGCCGTTATATGTATGATCTAATGCTACGAGTACTGTTTACAAACCAGTTCTTTACTTTAACGTCCCTGAGGAAGTCGTCATACTGTAAACACGGGTTGGGTTGAAATAGCAATGCATCGTGCACCCACACCCACCCCTTCATAACTGTAAAGAAACCCTGCCTTCATACGGGTTGTAAAAAAGTATAGGGGAACATGATGACTGAGTACAGGAATATTTGTAGAACTCGGATATACAAATAGACCCAAACCGGTTCAAGTCTGAACTGCGTTGTCAGGCGTTTTCGAAGTAAGTGCAGTTTAAAGGCCCTCCCATAAAGAAAAGTGTTCCGCGACCAGCTATGTACCCATTGATTTATAACAGTGCTGCAGTAATGGTTGAATCCATCTTTTGTTTACGCATTTGAGACTGAAGACCGTTTAGGGGTTTAGGCCTACTTGTATGTCTGCGTCTAAGGAAACTGCACACTGACAGTTGTAAGTGTGCGTGGGGGGGGAGGGGGTATAAAACAGTAGACGAGTACAATATGTAAAGCACATGGATGGGAAATCACATGGTTTTGTCTCGTTTCTCTTACTTGTTATATTTTCATTTTCAAGGGGGATGGGACCAGAAACTACGACAGGGACAATATAGCCTGCTGAGTCCACTCCTTGATCTGCCATTTAATGAAATTAATTACACTTAAAAGCATGCCTGCCTCTTATCAGTTGTTTAACGTAAATAGTCATATGACGCCCTCTTTATTACAAATACTTCTTTTCGAATACATAAGCTACCTCAACCTAATAGTACCTTAGCTTTACCGTACATTAGAATGATTATATGACACTATGACATAATACATACATACCTTATGGAAAGTGAAAGTGTACTCAGCTTCACCGTATACTGCACCTTGTCAAACAGACCTGTTGGCTACGTCAGCCTACGTTACTTTTTATAATCACTGTTTAGCCTCGGTTTTATTTGATTGGTACGAAGGCTTCAAAGTGCCATTCAAGAAATGTCACTTAACTGTTAGGCTGGCTGTAGTGGCTAGAAAATAACTAAATGGAGCTGGTTTTTAAAAATGGCTATAGCCCCAAAATTGTTGCAAAACTTGAAACCCAAATTTAGGTCTAGTTCATTTCAAGATAAATCTATTTGTCAAAGAAAATAAAGATTTAGCTGTATACATAGCTATGCCTCCTTTGCTGCAAATAAAAGTATTTCATTTCCTTTGACTACTAGCGATTTTTCTTTTGTGAAAGTGAAATATGTTTGGTCTTAAAGTTTAGACCAATTTTCGGCTTTTTGTGAAACAGGCCCATGGTGACATCAAATGTATGGCCTTGAAAAAAGTTAAGGTGACACTTATGCAAGTTCCTAATAAGTTCACAACACAACAACAACGACTATTGAAGTCTTTTAAAGTTTTGTTAACATTCATATTATTGAATCTCTTTTTAAAAAATTTTGTAAACTATGTTTTAAATCCAAAAGAGCTACAACAATGTGAACCCACTGACACTTATGGGGCTCCGTACCTGCAATTGTTAGCATCATCAGGTGACCTCGATCCTTCCAAGTCTGCGATACCTTACTCCCAAAGCTGAAGAACTGTTTAAAGGGTGATATTAACTTTCGTTTTTGGCATTACTTGGAACATAGTTATCAGAGGTAAGTTCCGTTCGTCAGGTTGTTACTATTGTACTAATGACATTATAACGGCAGCGAAGCAATGAAGCACTTGTTTTGACGTATTAATGAAAAGAACATGAATAAAATATTTTGAATTCTATATTTCTGACATGATCACTAGTGCGTAATGGATTTGAAGGCAAATGACAAGGTTTACTAAAAGCATGTTTGGCTTTCTTGTACTTTTTTTTAGTGAAAAAATCTAAACATTTATTAAACTGGCTGCAATATTTTCTCAAAGATGTAAAACAGAACATATCCAAGGCGCAAAAAATCTACTCTTTTCTCTTTAAAAAAATCAACCTTCAACTCATCTCCAATTTGTGAAAATGAAAGTTAAAACTAAGGTTACAGGCCTACCCAACTACCAGACTCGGCACCTAAGGATCCTGAATTAACCGGTATATCGGACCAAACTACCCGTTTTCAAGGTGTGTGTCAGATCACATTTCGGAGTATCAGCCAGAACACCGACAGGATGAGCCCTGGCATGCTCGGCTGTCACCTTGATTGGATAGTAAACGATTGTCGTAAAATCGCTATATGATTTTAAAACCGGGTGCATAATTTTGAAAGCCACCTAGATGAACCTTAGACTGCCACATTAATCTAATACAATGCAAAAAAGCTCTATCAAAAGTGGTCAAAACATTCAAACCGAATGTCGTAAAGTCCCCATATATCCCCATAGAGACAATAAAATAGAGTACTCCAAAGTAAGAGTACAGTTTAAGGTTGTTCAGCCGAGCGTGGATGAGCCCGCAGTCGTGCTACAAAATTTGTTCTGGGGTATGATACTCCGAAATGCGATCTGACACACACCTTGAAAACGGGTAGCGTGGTCCGATATACCGGTTAATTCAGGATCCTTAGGTGCCGAGTCTGGTAGTTGGGTAGGCCTGGGTTAGAAAACGCCCATGTTTGAACAAAAATTCCAGGCATTCTACGCACCTGTAATCTTGGCAGTATAAGTTAGAAATTTTTGACCCAGTTTACAGAAATTGGGAGAAAAAATCATAACAACCACAGGGTTGTATATGTGTTAATTCTATTAATTTATTAAGGTGTTCATTAGTACAAATATAGAAATATCAATACACCATTCCTTTATAAATATGCCATATCGAATACAGATATTTAACCGGAAAGACATAGAGGAAAATGAAATGTACATAAAGAGACAATTAATACACTATTGTATTTACTTTAAAACGGTAATATGTTGCGTTGTTTAAATAAGTATGCGGCGCCTACTATTCCAAATTTAATATTTTCCCTATTGCTAAGGCATGAAGTGTTGGAGCTGAACGGTGTTTTGCGTCGTTTTTACGTGATATAGGTGTCTGTAATAGATCACAGTTCCGATGCCAAAAGCAAATTAGTTTCGGTTTCGCTTTCGGTTTAGTATATATAGGCCTAATTCTGAGCAAGTTTTTCTTCCAATATTACCGCGAACGACCCAGAAAGTAAAATCCATTAAATCCGACCTCTTACTCAATTAAATATCTTTTTGCATGATATTCTAAATTTACACTACAGTTATTGTTCCTTGGGTCTACCAAAGTTTACATTTTGTGTACGTGCATTTTTCAGTTTTTTTTTTTTTAATTACTGACTGTTGGGGGACTGCCAAAAGTTGTTCTGATGCCATACCATAATAATACTAGATCTCCAAGTCAAATCATTAATGAGTATATATTTATTTAAAGGAGATTTAAGGATATTCCCATGCTGTATTAATGATTCTGCATGCCCGCACCATTGGTGTGCAACATTCTCGACAACTGGTTTTTAATGTGCTGTTTTGTTTCATTCCCTTCAAATATTTTGACATTTTGTTTACATTCTAGATGTATGAAGTGACTTAATGTTATTCCACATGGTTTTCAGTCTGCGTTCTCCACAGATGTACCATGCACATGTGTTAGACGGTGGATTTCCTTTTAAATGAAAGACTTTTTCCTGAACCTTTCCTATCTATCTTTTTTTTTTCAATTGATCCTTCAATAATTCTATAGAACACTTTAGAAAACCGTACAAGAAAAATTTCCCACAGAGTATCCTAAATTATATATATAACTATTTCCTGGTATTTTTCCCAAAAAGATCCTAATCCAATTTTCATATAGGACATTTTCTTCAGGAACCACAATGGCTTCTGAATCGTTTCGTTCATTCCAAATACAAATTGTTGGCATTAAAATATATTGAAAAAACAAAAAGAAAAACCCGTTAAATATTGCTTTTATTGTAGAGTCTAATATTTTTGCTCCCACGATTTATCAAGCTTGTCGCATAAATCGATCATGTACCAGTTACCAGCTACCTGGCAGATTAATTATCGTCATATAAAGAAATGTAAACTAAACACCTGACTGTCAAAACGAATTTGCCACTGCCATTTATTATTGCGCTATTCAACGGTGCTTTTCTTTTTGTTTGGGTTTCGCTCTCACTTTTATCTTGTTACCGTGGGGGTTGTGTTTATTACAAAACTGTTACTTTGTTTATTACTTTGGGCATTTTCTTAAGGAAATACAATGGCTTTTGATTCGTTTCGTTCATTTCAAATTCAAGTTGTTGAGATTTAAATACATTGGAAAATAAAATCGAAAACCTGATACATATAAATTTTATTGTAGAGACTAATATTTTTGCACCCACGATTTACCAAGCTTGTTGCGTAACACGATCACGTACCAGCTACCTGCTAGAAGCCAGGTTAATTATCGTTATGTTAAGAAATGTAAACTAAACACCTTTTTTGTGTAAACACTTCTTGGAAGGTCTATTTATGAGAAACGGGGTAAACCTATCTCATTATTCAAACAAATAGTGTGCGTATGTTTATGAAAAGTTAAGAAATGATAACCTTGACTGTCAAAACGAATTTGCCATTGTGATTTATCATTACGCTATTCAACAATGCGTTGCTTTTTGTTTGAGTTCGGCTCCCATTTATATCTCGTTGCCATGGGGATTCTGTTTATCACACAACTGTTACTATGTGTATTACATCCCTGATTACTCCTGTTCTGAACTCATAATCAAGGCGCATAGTGGTACATGAATGCAGTCATCATCAGGAGAAGAAAGTGTAATGATGCTAAATGGATTTTTTTAACCGCCATTTTCACAGAAAATACTGTTGAACATCATAGGAAGATATATTAAACACGAATTATATATTAAACCCTAAACAGATTTCCCTTCTGAATACAAAATACGTGATAAGTGGATGAGGCAGAGACAAAGCGTTGTTCTGTTACTTTTTTCAAGTTTTTCAGGGTTAATGTGCTGTTTTGTTTCATGCCCTTCAAATAATTTGACATTTTGTTTACATTCTAGATGTATGAAGTGACTTAATGTTATTCCACATGGTTTTCAGTCTGCGTTCTCCACAGATGTACCATGCACATGCTCGTTTTAACTCTTAATATTCTTAAAAATAAATTTAAAAATAAATCTAAGGCTTTATATTAAAAAGCTGGAGGATAAAACTTACATAAATGTGTTTATTACCCTCAAATAATAAAAGCTAGGTGTTGCTTGGTAAAAAATGTGAAAATGTTGTGAGGTGAGTGGGAACTGTCACCGCTGACAAAAACCGTTTTATGTGCTACACTCTCGAGTGTATAGACTCAATTCCTGTTTGTTTTCTCTGATGTAGGCTTAATAGAGATATAATAAGAGATTAAAGTGAGACAATATGCGTAGAACTGTCCCAGTCATGTCACTTGCTGTCTGCACCATCTTTTCCGATTTGTTTTTTCCTGTTCAGTTGCACACCCATGCCATGTGATTAACGCGCGAGTTAAAATGCTTTCTATAACACACGTGTCAAAGTCATTAAAAAAGACACATACCCGGTGAAAGTTTTCCATTTTCTTAAACATACACTTGCTGCCTTGTGTTTTTCATGTTATCAAGGTGTTATCACTCCGGGTTAGTCTATTGATCAATTGAACCACCAATAGCTTATGACAACAAGCGTTTTATCATCTTCACCACCAGTTATATAACATAAGTTGAAGGTGTCATTGAAATTTATTAAAGATGATTTTTGAGAAGGAAAGGGGATTACAATAAATAAATTTTATACTGGTATGTAAGTGCTATCACTTTCACTTTCGTTTATGACGTTCTCTGTAGTAGCATTTATTTATAAAGAGAGGTAACAATCCCAGTGACACAAAGGCTACGTCTTGATTTATCGATTAATGAGAGCCAGCTGTAATTAATAAATAAATGGAGTAAAGAACCAAATTAAACAGCCGTCATGGTTAACAAATGGAATATTTTTCCCTTTCTATTTGCCCTTTGCCACTCGACGCATTTTTTTTCTTTAACGTCCATGTAAATTGTATGACATGACATTTTTTCAGATGACAAGCGTTGAAATAGAGCTAGAACCTCTGAATGAACAACCGCAAGAAACTGGAAATGAAACTGTTCCTTCAGGGGGTCCGGTTGCCGCAGCGGAAGATGTCGCCAACACCGAACCGGTTCCCCGACCCGATGGGGGCTGGGGTTGGCTCGTCGTGCTTGGTTCTTTCATGAACCACGTTGTAATAGACGGTACGGCTTTCTCGATTGGCGTCATCTACGTGGAGCTCATCGATTACTTTGGCGCCTCCACGGCCGATACGGCATGGATTGGAGCCATTCAGTATGCCATGGTGAACTTGGCAGGTTAGTGCACAAGTTAATGACAACTACGGGGTACATCTTTTTTAGTCTATACAGCAAGTATTTTCAGCATCACTGACCTTGGTTAAAGACGTACAAGCGTTCTATTTATTGGAGGTGAGGCTACAACTGAAGATGAAACCCGGAATTATTATAAGTGCAGAGTACAGTGTTAACATTACTGTACACAGTAAATAATAGATTTCTATATACATGCCGATTTATCATCAAGTCTATGGGTCTTTCCGCTGTTTGTGACTGCATAACAATTCAATCACGTCACAATGACTTACGTTCTACTAAAAAAATGTCGGGGATACCTAAACGAGTTTCTTCGTGAATATTTAACCGAGTTTCGGTTTTTTACCAAGCTTCTTCTTTTTCACTTTTTTGCTACATTCTCGTCTGAAGAAAAAGGGTGTCAAGGTAACGAAACTAGGTCACTAGGCGCCTGTCAGCCCAGGGGGTAGGATATATGTCACATTAAGGTTGTCTCGTTCAATTAAATCGGACAAATCCACGGAGTGACGTGATAAACTGTTCACCTGACCAGACATCCTGTCAAAAAATATTATGGGGCCCATTTTTACTGAAATTGAAAACGGCAAACACTAGATTCCTTAAAAAACACTACTATGCAGGAAAATGTTCTATATTATGTTTGCCGTAACAGTTTGATCACAACATACAAAAACGAAAACGGTTTCATGTAAACTTGATTGCATTTTCACCCTCGAGATAGATTGAAATCAATAGCAATTTCCAATATTTCCACCCTATATAACCAGAAATTAAATTAAAAAGGAAGACCTGAAATTACACAACAATCACAAATACTTATTATTATTATTATTATTATTATTATTATTATTATTATTTCAGGTCCCGTGGCCGAGGCACTGTGCAAGACCTTTACACCCCGTACTATAGGAATGATAGGCACCGTCATCGCCGCTATTGGGTTCATACTCAGTATGTTTGCCACACAGATTTGGCAACTGTACATAACATTTGGCTTTCTGACAGGTAAGTTACAGTGCAGAAACTCTAATGTAATGTTCTACATCCAGGTATGTTCCCGGTTTAGAAAATAAACACTATGACCTCCAGTCTTGGCAGGTGCTCCTCTGTTTTTCGACGTAAAAGCACCTCAGATACCCTGCACGATCCAGATTTTTTCAGGAGGGGGATCATATGATTATTTTAACCCCCCCCCCCTCAGATATTTTTGGAAAGAATTCAATGGGGATCTTTATACAGTGTTGTATATTTTCTTTCTCCTACTCTTGATTTTCCTCCAGCCAATGTCATGCTATAGGTGAGTCCCACAGGTGGTACAAATAACATGCATTGAAGGTCTTTAACAGCTACCTCCCTCACCCAAACATTTTCTCAGCTTACAGCCTGTGTGTGTGTGTGTGTGTGTGTATTCGACACAAAATTAAGTTCCCTATGCCATGCTACGTATGTTTCTGAAACACCCTCACCGTCTTCACCATTTATATTTCAGGGTTTGGGTTCGGCTTGAAATTTCTACCAAGCATTGTTTGCGTCCACGAGTACTTTGAAAAAAGACAATCTCTTGCGATGGGGATTGCCGTCTGTGGTACCGGGGTTGGCACTTTCGCTTTCGCACCCCTCTCCGAATACCTTATCGAGATATACGGCTGGCAAGGTGCCCTACTCATTGAATCCGCCATCATACTGCATGGCGTTGCTTTTAGCGCCCTCTTCGTTCCTCTGGAGAAAAAATCACGGGAGACACGGGAAGACGAGGCATCTCTCATATCCAAATTAAAGGCAGCTTGGAAAATCACAAAGGAGCTGATCGTTGAAATGATGGATTTTAGACTTTTCAAAAACCCAAAATTTGACGTCTACTGTGTCTGTATGTTCCTATTCGCTGTTGGCTACGTTGTTCCGATGACGTACCTTCCAGAACGCGCTGTGAAACAAGGCTACTCTCCGCGAGAGGGCGCTTGGCTCGTTTCTGTTCTGGGAATTTTAAACATGCTGGGGCGCATCTTCGTAGCCGGAGTTGGAGACCGAAAATGCGTGAATCGTTTCTGGATGTTCACTATATGTATCCTCATCAGTGGTGTTATAACCGGTGGAAGCTTTTTGGCAAATTACATCTACTGGCTGCAGATGACGTATTCTGGGTGTTACGGTTTTATGATAGGTAAATATTAGGTGCTACGATTGCCATAAAGAGCAATCGTACGCTAATTTTTAAGATGGTGTGCAATTGTAAAATATGTTGGAAATTGAAATATGTAAAACAGACGTATATCATATTTTCTACCTTTACAATTAATATGAATTCAACTACGTGTGTTTATGTAGGACACTTAAATTTATTAATCTGTTTTATTAATTACTATTATCACTTCCAGGTATCTTCATTTCTTTGGAGTCTGTCGTGTTAAGAGATTTAATCAGCCTTGAGAACCTGACCAAGGGCTATGGTTTGGCCATATTTGTTGGTTATGGGATAGGGTCATTGGTCGCTACGCCATTCACTGGTAGGTTGTTTTTATGTCACTTTAAGTACATTTACAGGTCTTTTGCATGTGGTAACTTAACTTTATGGCGGTCGGCATCTTGTCGCTTCTGCACGATGCTGAAGAGGCGAATCCTTGCAAATGTATGGCTGTCGATTGGCCAATGGTTAATTTGAGACAAGTTTTATCTGAATTTGGCTGTAATTCCAATGCCATATATCGCAGCTTTGAATATTATACTACTTATTACAAATTATATTACGTACAGTGTTTGAATATCTTTATTACCTTTTTTTTTTTTTTTTTTTTTTTTTTTTTTTTTTTTTTTTTTATAGTTTTTTTTTTTTTTTA